GGTGCTGGAGACCCACGGGATCGAGCGGTCGGACTCGGCATGGCAGCAGACTGCGCGCCGGTTTGCGGAAGGATCTCACACCGAGAACCAAGGGGGGTACACTTGCAGCCACCAGGGAGGCCCAGCCTTGAGTCGCAGGCAGCCCAACGCAAAGAACCGAGAGGGCGGCGGACGGCGCGGAGCGCTGGAAACGACTGTCCGGAAGACAAGGGAAATGTGCAGTCGGCCTGGAGGGGAGGTTAAAGAGGAGTGCGGCCATCGAAAATGCAGTGCTGCAGGTGCGCCTCACAGTCTGGCGAGGCACCACCACCAAGGGAGGATCATCACTTTGTTCGGAAGTAGTCGGTGAAACAAGAACATCAGCGGATAGGGCATGCCCACATGATGTATCAGCAAGCGCGGCAGCACAGCGAAGCAGAAAGTAGATCACCAGTATTAACTGGTCTCGTCGCTGCTCCACTCCACATTCGGTAACTCCTGTGGTGCACGCATTCGTCTGCAACGTGTGACGCCAGGCACACGGACAAGCCAAACAAAGGAATCGAGAGAAAGACGCCAAAGGGAGCGAAGCACAGTAGGCAGCGAGGTTGCCAACGTTCGCCTTTGGGCTGGGCTCAAAGACTGCCATGCCAAGAATCAGCAAGTCAAGACGATAGTAGGAGCCGGTCAAGCCGGATGGCGCCACACAGGCCAAGAGTCGGCAAATGCGGTTCGACAGATTTCCTCCGAACACAAAGCAGTATACACGAACTGTCACGAAGCTGTGTGCCGCACGAGGCCGGAACTCCGGTCATGATCGCTCTTGGGTGCACGCTCTGAGGCAACGTGGTGACGGCACCCACGTGGTCGAAGAGGGAGAAGACGATTGGGTGCACAATCTGAAGCAACCTGGTGCCGGCACCCACGTGGTCGAGGAGGGAGAGAAAGAGAGAGGCACGACGGGGACGACGAGAGGAACTGGGGCACAACCGGGTTACGCAGCACAGTCGAGCGGCGCGCGGGCGCGAGGTAGGGGAGACCAGGGACACGACGAGAGCGACGAGGGGGGGCAGTGCCAGGCGGGACGCAACTTGGCACCAAGCAGCTGATGAAGGCGAGCAGCGGGTGAAGATCAGGCTCAGGTCGGGCTTGTTCCCCGACAGGCGGATTTTGGACGAAAATTTAAAAATAGTCAGAAACTGATCAAACATAGTCGAAGCAGACTAGCAAAACCGCCCCCAGACCATTTTTGACTATTTTTAAATACTCCTCCTGTAGAGGGGCATGCCCGACTTCAGATCCGGCGGGACACGCACTGGCCGGGCCTACCACCTCGGCGGTAACGCGGCAAAGACGCGGACCGATCCCGGCGCGAAAAAGGCCAGGCGAAGCAAGCGAGGTGCGCTACGCACATGCATATGTTTCCCGCGCGGTGCGCCAAGGGTAACTAAATAACCGCTCAAGCATCGCCGATGAGAGCAGCATCCGAGGGAGTGCAGGTGCAGAAAAAGCGTCACACACGCACGCACATGAACTCTCACTCACACTCACACTCACACACACACACTTTTGCGTCGGCGGCTGGGCACAAGGTGACTGCCCCAGAGGAATGGCAACAGGGGACACGCTGTATGCAAATTAAGGCCGCAGTGCACGGAGGGGGAGGAGGAGCCCCGGCGCGACAGGGGCAACGCATAAACACGCGCGCGCACACACACTTTGCAAGCCGAACGCCCCACATCTTGAGAGCCGAGGCTGCGGCCGGGGCGGAGGGGCCCGGGCGGCACCGCGGGGGACGCCCTTGCGGCATGAGCCTCATGAGCACGACTGTTGCAAGTATGAACGCGAAGGTTCGAATCTCACGCTTGCAACGTATCGTCGAGACCCCACTGCCAGCACAGACATGCGACGTTCAAGAACAAAAGTGGTGAACGAAGAGATCTTGTCCTGATGAAGTGGCATCGGCAATCGCACAGAACTGCAGACGTCGGGGGCGCGCAAACATGGATTGGCGATCCATGGATTTGGCGCGCGGTCGCCAAGTCCACGGATCGGGGGGAGGTGCCCTCCCCGAAATGCGGCCGGTGCCGCCTCGCTCGGCGGCGGAACTCCGCGACGACCTATGGAAGCGGGACCCGCCGCTAATCCACGCCCCCTTGATCCATGTTTGTGGACGCCTGAATGAAGTTAGGCAACAAAAAGTGACATAAACATAAAAGCTCGGAGGTCCGCGCGGATTTCTCGGATCGGCGCTGGGGCCCCCCGGCGGCGCCTCCGGCGCCGCCCCTGGCGCGCTCCGCGCGCCAGGGAGGGGGGTCCAGCGCCGATCCCAGAAATCCGCGCGGACCTCCGAGTTTTTATGCTTAAGTGATTTTTTGTTCCCCTATGAATGAAGGGGCATCGGCAATCGCACAGAACTGCAGACGGCAACTGTCGACCAGGCAGCCCCCGGGTGGCGCAACGTGGTCCGCCCCCGCGCCTGCAGCGGTGCGGTGCCGGGCCCCTGCGTTTTTGTCACCGGGTGCACTTCTCGTGCGACACGGCGGCGCGTGACACAGCATGAGGGGCCCAAGCTCCACCACCACTACCATAGGCAGGAGAGGGGCGAGGAGGAGGAGGAGGAGGAGAAGGAGGAGGAGGAGGAGGAGGAAGAGGAGGCGGAGGAGGAGGGGAAGGAGCAGGAGGAGGAGGAGGAGGAGGAGGAGGAGGAGGAGGAGGAGGAGGAGGGGGAGGACCTCCTCGTCCTCCCTTCTCCCCCGTCCTGCACGTGGCCGTGGCGGTGGAAAGCTTACCTATATCACAGCAGCGAGAGGGCCCTCGACGCGTGGAGCCCCACATGCTGCCCCTCACGCCCCCCCCTCTGCGCGTGGCCGACGCGGAGCCCGAACCCCCGCTGGGGACGGGGGGGTCCCTGGTGGGGCCCGCGCGAGACATTTTTTGATCCGCGGGTCGAGAGCGCACCTCTTCCGGTCGAAGCTAAGCGGGCCGCGCGAAGCTTGAATTAGGCAGAGAAGGGGAGGGAGGAAGCGGCGGAGCCTCAGAGCGAGGCCGAGAGGAGGCATAGCCTCGGATACAGGCGGTGCCGAAGCCGAAGTTCTTGCAAAGGGACGCCTTCGGCAGGAGCCCGGTGGCGAAGTACCGGAGAAGAGCACAATGCTACCGTAGGTGCCCGTGCGACACATGCATGGGGGCGCTTCGACCCGATGCCCGGAGGGGCCGAGTGCCGGAGGGGGGAGGAGGCCCAGGCCCCCGACGTAATGATTTGTTCATGACGTCGACCCCCAGAGGTCCCGAACTTTCCAGCCTGGAACATATCCCTATCCCTATGCTGGGCATCTCCTCTTCACGATGCCAATCTTAGGGATTCCCTTATTTTTTGAGGGCGCATCCCTAAGATTGTCATCGCCTTTTGGCGTGTCAATCTTAGGGATAGGGATAAGTTCGAGGGTGGTACGACCTTTGCCCCAGGACCGGCTCCGCATCCCAAGCCGTTTCTGACGCTCACGAGGCCCGGTGAGGGCCCCCGGAGGCCGAAGATTCAGAAGAACCTCCCGTCGTGATCTTTGTTCCTTGCCCGAGGGGGTCGGGGATCTCAGGGCCAGACATGCTCGCGCTTCTTCTGCGTCGCTCGCGGGGCCCCCGGAGGCCGAAACTTCAGAAGAACCTTCCGTCGTGATCTCGTCCTCACTCGAAGGGGTCCGGGGGAAGAAAGAGGTGGAGGCAAGGATGAAGGGGCCCTGGGACACACAAACAAATACACACAAATAAAAAGATTCCCCATATTTTCCTATATTTTCTTTGTTTTTGTCTTCCCCACCACTTCCCATATTTTCCCATACTTTCCTGGGGATCGACGATTAATTGTGTCTGTGTGTTTTTTCCCCTCCTGAAAGGAGTGGGCGGGCCGCAGAGCCGCGGGCCGTGCGGCGTGGGCGCGGCGGCCGAGCAGGCGCTGCACGAGCCCGAGGGGCCCGGGAGAGGGCGCGGGCGGGCGCGCGCGCACGCGTGCGCACCGCCCACGCGCTTTTCTTGCGGCGCGGGCGGGGCTGGGGGGCCACGCGCGAACCCTACAGGGCAGTTTTTAATTCACCGGACTTTAAACATATAGGATGTTTAATGCATGATTAATGTATGAACAAACTTATGCATGAATTCATCGTTGTTTTTGTTTTAAACTAAATCCTTGCATTTTGAATACATGATCCGCACGCGGAGCATGTATTAAAAACGGCACTGTACCCCTACCCCCCAAGATTTCTGAGGGGGGAGGGTGGGGGCCACTTCGTTCGGGAGCTCCCGAGCGGAGTGAGCCCCAACCCCCCCGAAATCGTGGGGGGCAGGGGTAGGGTTCGCATGCGGTCCCCTAGGGGCGGCACGAGCCGCTCGCTGTTCGGAGAAGCCGCCCGGCCAGCGCAGGAGCCGCAGCCAGGCAAGAGAGAAGGGGGCGCCGAGCCGGTCGGCGTGCCGGCCAAGACTGGGGCGACAAGGCAAGGGGCCAGCGAAACAAGGGAGCGGGGGGCCAAGCAAGCGCCGCACACCCTGAGATCCGACGCAGCGAAAAGTTGCAGCATCGTGAAAACCCGCGCCCGGAGCCCCAGACCTCGTCTTTCCGCGTCATGACTCGAGCCGGATCGATTTGTGAGGGCCCGGGGACCCGAAAGAAGGCCAAAACGCCCGGCTCGAAAAAAATTGAGCCGCCGGGGTCTCAGGGCACACACCTTTTTTGGTCTGCGGGTCGAGAGCGAGCCTCTTCCGGTTAAGAGCTAGGCGGGCCGCGCAAAGCACTAATTGGGGAGACAGGGCGCGGGCGGGCGGGGCCTCAGGCGGCCGGAGGGCGCGGGGTGCAGTCGGTGCCGAAGAGCTTGCACAGGAAAAGGTACGCCTTGGACAGGAGCCGGAGGCGAAGTCCCGGAGGGAGAGCGAAGTGGTATCAGGGCACACACACACACACACGCACTCACACGAGGCCCTGCCTCCCCCCACCCCACCCCGCCCTCCAAACAGGGAGGTCTCCGCGGGGCCTCGCAGGGTTCCGGGCAGCTGGGTGGCATGCCCTTCTCCGGGTTCTTGTGCAGGTGGCGCTGCACCGCCTCCGGGGGAAGGACGGAGGAAGGAGGAGGGAGAGAGGGAGAGAGAGGGAGGGGCAGCATTTTCCCGCCGCAAACAGTCCATCAGCACTCCATCCGAAGCACGCTGGACGAATCAAGAAGAGCAAGGGAGGGGAGGAGCAGGAGGACGAGCAGAAGGACCAGGCAGCAGCAAGTAGAGCAGGAGCAGGAGGCGGAGGGCGACGAGGCCGACGAGGACAGTGACGAGGACCAAGAGGACGAGGAGATGCTGCGCCCCCATCTGCCCAGGGAGGGAAGGGCATTTGGCCTCCAGGGCTTCTGGCGCGCACGGCCGGACAGTCGACGCCACCGCCAAACGGAGTTTCCGTTGCTGGCCTCGCTCTGTCATTCCAGTCCCTGCCCTCCTCTCCCCTCTCCTCTCATGCATCCTCACAAGGCCTTCCACGACGATAGCACAACCGAAACCCGACCGCACTGACAGCGAAACCGAACTGACCGAAATCCACAGGACGAGCGTAGTCCAGAGGAGCGTAGCGACGCAGCAGCGACACAACAAACAACCGAACCGAACCGAACTAACGCAACCGTCTGCGACGCAGTAGAACCGACCGAATCTCGGACACCTCCCCCCTCCACTCTATCATGCCTTCCCTCTTTCTTTCCTCTCCTGCCTCCCCTCCCTCGTCCTCCTCCTCCTCTCCCTCCTTCCTGCTCTCCTCTCTCCCCAACCCTCCTCGCCGTCGCCCTCGACCGCTTCCTTGTGCCCATCACAACCTCGCACATACAAGAAACCGAACAAAAGTGGGCTCACAACGTCGACCCCCAGAGGTCTCGACCAGTCCCCCCGGGACCGGCTGCTCATCCCGCTCTTCCACGGCCCCAGAAGCCAACGACAGCAGCCACGAGAACGTCCGCCACGAGCCCTGCACGACGCGCGGGGCCAGCAATCTGGGCGGCGTGGGAAGGAAGGGTTCGCCTGCATCTCCTGCGCGCCAGTCCAGCATGTGCGCTCCAGAAGGAGGAGGAGGAGGAG